AATAAATAAATAAAAATCTTTCAAAAATATATATATTTTTAAGATTTATTTATTTATTTAAGAGATGGGGTGGGGAGGCTTAGGAAGAATCTTTCAAGCAGACTCCCCACTGAGCACAGAGCCCAACGCAGGGCTTGATCCCACAACCCTGCGATCACGACCTGAGCTGAAACCAAGAGTCAGATGCTTAACCAACTGAGCCACCCAGGCGACCCTAAAAAGATGGTAATTTAATGAAACATTATTTCCTCTCCTTGGTCTCTCACTCTAAGCCTTATTCCTTAGGTCCTTTGTGTTAAAATAGCATCAGAAGCCCCAAGTTTTCTTCCTTCTTATGTAACAAATGGTAAATACCCGAAATTTCAAAACTTACATATCTTGAGTTCAATCCCATCCAACCCTAAACTAAAGACTTAAAAGTCTTAAAAAACAAAAAACAAAAAACAAAAAAACCCTGGTGTTTCCAAATGAGCTCTCCTATTTTTCCTAGCCCAGAGTTCCAAAAAGCGACATATTCACATTCTCAAACACATGAGCTGGTTTTTTAAGACTCTTGCAAATAACTCTTTTCTACATTAAAAGCTTTAGTTAAGGTCACAGCTTTGAAAAACTGCAGAACATTCTTACTTACATCTGGAAGTCTGTAGAGCTTCATTGTTCTCTGTAAAGTCATATTTCTACTCAAGTGAGAAAATTTCACTTCTACCAGTTTTCTGGGGTTTAGTGATCGATGCCAGTATCTGGAATATAATAAAGGTTTTAAAACCTGATTGGTTTCTAACCCTACCAGTTTTTTTACTCTTTGTCCCAGTTATAGAAGCATTTAACGAACACTAGTGATGCCCCTGGTGCAGGGCTGGATGCTAGCCCTCTTCTTGCATAATTATTTTATCAGCTGGTTTTTACATCTAAAATACATCCTTACTTTCCTTATGTTCCTTTGTAGTCTGTGACATTTCATCTCTTTCAGTAAAGAGCAATCAAAATTGTAAATAAAGTTAAAAAATGCCCAGTCTGCAAGTCTTTAATGACCACTGCTGATTCTACAGGAAGCAAACCAAAAAGTTTAAAAACATGAAAACATCCCCCCTAAATTCGTAGCTGTTGCTTTTATATAATGCACACCAAAGAAAACAACTTTTTGAGAAACTGTCTTGAATTTCTTCAGTGATTCCAGTTTAGGTACTAGGATGATTTGTATTAAAACATACCTGCGAAGTCTTATTTGTTCAGGTTATTTATGAATAATTTAATCAGAGAGAGTCATTTTGCAGTTTACCTTTCATACCTTTCATAAGTTTTTGTCTTATTTGAGGCAAAAATAGTCAAGAGAGATAAACCCTGAGGCTTTACAACAGGTTAGTCCAGGCACCAAATCTGCCCTGGATTAACCTTTGAAAGCTTGGTAAGAACAGATGAAGTCATAAAAAACAGAGCTTAAGCCTTTTCTTACTCTCAGCAAACAGGTTTGTTTGGGCTTCTCAACTGGTGTTTATCAGGCATTTGGGACAGTTCCCTGATAGCCAGGGCAGAGCCTGGTATAAACCTGAGTGTTTGGAAGGAAAGAAAATGCTAGCAGGCTGGATGTTTCAAGATCACAATGCCCCGAATTCCCCAAGGGAGAGGCAGTGCTGGTCTCTCCAACGGAAAGGAGACAGGAATACAGAACCAGCATCATTAGCAGGTAAATGTTAAAAAGCAGAGTCCCCCCCACCCCCCGGCTTTTTTTTTAATCACGAAGTGGTTCTATGGCAAACTGGAAAGAACACTGGACACAGTGGTTCTTGGGTCTGGTCTCCCCCCTCTGCCACCAAACTACGTAATAACAGGTAAACTCAAATCCCTGAGTTACACGTGAGGGTAACTGGTAGCAACAGAGCAAGGGGGCAAGAGGTGAGCCTGTGGTATTGTTACCTGCAAGTGGCTACCGGCTTAGGAAGAACCACTCCAGCGGTATAGACAGCCTGAAAAATCCCTTCCAGGTTCACTCTTCTGGTTATTTCTCGAATTAACACTGGAGCTACCCGTTTTGATCTCAATTTCTTATGAACACAAAGAAAGTTGATTTCTACCATCTTTTTCACACTAAGAAAGAGAAAGAGGTCAAAAATCGGAGGGAACGTAAGACGAAAACATTTAAAAAAATAAGACAACACCCATGACATTTCAAAGAATATGAAACCGAAAGATCCCCCCCCCAACACAATATTTAAGAACAAATGACCATCATTTAGACATTTCACAAGTTCAGATGGATATGCTGGTCTCCAAATCCCCTGCTAAAATGATCATAACCCTAGGCCATGGAGACCCAAACCCCCTTGTCCCAAATAAATTTAAGACTTTTTTTTTTAAAGTAAGTTTTCACTTTAGAAAACGGGTAAGACGGGGAGCCTGGGTGGCTCAGTCGGTTAAGCGTCTGCCTTCGGCTCAGGTCATGATCCCAGGGTCCTGGGATCGAGTCCTGCATCGGGCTCCCTGCTCAGTGGGGAGTCTGCCTCTCCCTCTCCTCCCCACTCATGCTCTCTCGATATCTCTGTCTCTCTCTCTCAAATAAAATAGATAAAATCTATAAAAAAAAAAAAGAAAAGAAATAAAAACGGGTAAGATGTGCCTCAAAGTTTCTACATCTGTTTTTTTCTGTCATGTACGCAATTAGGACAATAACTGGGTCACCCAGCTGCACAATCTGGTAAGATGTTGCTTTGGAGTATAATGCAATTCCTAGGATCCTGAGAGGTGCCTTGACCAGACGAGAGCTGGTGTTTTTCTGAGCTACAGTAAACCTTCCAGGGCTCCAAAGCCTGTTCCCCACTCTGGTTCTACATATGCAGGCATTCCATCTGGCACAGAGACTCCTTGACATCAAATGCCTTTTAGTAGCAAAGAAACTAACCAATACACTGAGAAGTACACAGTCCCACTCTGCACAAGATCTCTGACTTCCTGGGCTAGAGACCCAGAGCAAAAATGCAACACAGTTATCCTACGGATAAAAAGATTTTTAAAAAATCTCTCCTAAGATCTTTTACGATAATTTTTTTCTCCAGAAATAAATCTGAAATAACCATTTATAGCTTTTTTATTCGGATACATACATATATACATGTATACGTTGTATTTGTGTGTGTGCACTGACGAGATTGAGAGAGAGCTGTCCTTTTTTTGCTGTTTGCAGTCCAATTTTTTTTTTATTAAATCAACTTTAGTTTTCCACTGGTCCGTGTTTCTGAATCAACTTTATTTTTAAGAGTTTTAGATTTAGCAAAACCGAGCAGAAAGTAGAGTTCCTTCCTGCAGACCCCCGCCCCCACCCACCCACAACCTCCCCTAAGATCAACAATCTGCATCAGTGATTTTTCAAAGCCCATTGTAACTGCAGTTCTTGGAAAAACAACACATCAAAGCCGGCATGGACAAGCTGTAATAGGTACCTGTCATAAATCCGAATGTTTGCTGGGATGGCACTTATGAACCCTACTAGCTTTTTGTTCGAAGACACTCGGACCCCACAGTGCCACTGAAGGAGCCAGCCCGGGGGACGCAGCGCCCTGAAGCGGATGCAGGCAAGGAAAACAGGCGGCGGTTAGTGTCCAGGAACCCAGGGAGACCGAGGCACGCCGCCCCGACTGCCCACGCCCGGGGCACCCCCCAGCAGCCAGCCAGACTCACCACAGCAAGAATTCGGGCGAGTAGTCGAAACGGAACACGCTCTCCTCATCTTCCACGTAATTCTCATTTAACAGCGTGTACAGCTCCTTGAGCTACAAGACCAAGCAAGTGTCTGGTCTATGGTGCTCACAACCCCCGCCCCCCAGAAGCAATGTGTGCAAAGGCAGGTGTTGAACCCCAGAGTGTTACTCACCACATCGGCGTTACCCAAGTCCAGGGTGTCCCACATAAAACCCTGCGGCAGGGAATAGGGCTCCTGACGCACGTTGTCTTTATCCGCTTCAATGGCCCCGTGAGAGGTTATGACTTCATCTGGGGAGGAGCAGAGGAGAAAAAAGACAGACAAAAAGACAGAATATTCAAGGACAAAGCATTGTGATGATCCAAAATGGTCCGTCACAGAAAACGAAATCATTTCTAGGGGACTTGTGTTTCACATCATCTTTGAAAATATGCTATGTTTCAGCTACTTCTTGGAGGGAGACAAGGTAGCTAGGTGGCGGAGAAGAGCTGCTATCTCACCAATTAAATAGAAGGAGCAATCCTTTCTCATGCAATGACAAGGTGTGTATTAGGACATGACAGTGACTTCTCAGCCTCAGCCCCTACTTGACAGATCCACTGCACTACATACACCACAGTGGACAGCTTAGATCCTATGACGGCCTGGGGAAGTCTCTTCTTATTCTGCATTTCAAAAACCTGGGGTGGGGGTGGGGAGGGCTACGGTGACCTCTGACCCCTCCCAGCAACACCTACAAGTAATTTGCAGACTGCTGACAATGCAGCTGAAGTCATCCACGTCTCCAGTGATCTCCACAAAGGTGCCCTTTTCCAGTTCCTTCTCCACAGCTTCCCAGTGTGACTGGGATAGAACCCAGTCCCCTGCGTGTGGCTGATGCCCACCTGGCCGCCCACCTGGCCTTTCTCTCCAGCTTCATCCACACTGACCCCCCTCAGGCCGGCCCCAGCTCACGGCGTCTGGGGTTTCCCTCTGCTCTCACAGCCCTTCCCCTGCTCTCTGTAGGCGAGCCGCTTGCGTGTTTGCAGACATAAGCTTACACATCACTTTCCCACAGCATCTTTCCCTGACTAAAGCTGTTTCCTACCTGGAGGATGCCCTCCCTCCATCCCCACCTGGCCACCATTTGTATCCTACTTCCCCTTCACTGTTTCCCCGCCATGTTCCCCAGCGCCTGGCACTGAGCAATACACACTCACCACTGATCTATTACTCAGCCATAAAAAAGAATGAAATCTTGCCATAGGTGACCTTGAAGGCATTATGTGAAGTGAGTCATGTCAGAGAGAGAAAGACAAATACTGTATGATTTCACTTATCTGTGGCATCTAAAAAAAACAAAAATTCTGAATTCCTAGACACAGAGAACAGTCTGGTGGTTGGCAGGGGTGGGAGTGTGAAATGGGTGAAGGGGGTCAAAAGGCACAAACTTCCAGTTATAAAGCAAGTAAGCTCTGGGGATATAATACACCGCATGGTGATTATAGTTAATAATATTGCATTGCGTATTTGCAAGTTGCTAAGACAGCAGATCTTAAAAGTCCTTATTACAAGAAAAAAATTCTGGGGACGCCTGGGTGGCTCAGTCGGTTAAGTGTCTGCCTTCGGCTCAGGTCATGATCTCCAGGTCCTGGGATCGAGTCCCGCATTGGGCTCCTTGCTCAGTGGGGAGTCTGCTTCTCCCTTTCCCTCTGCCTCTCCTCTCCACTTGTGCGTGCGCTCTCTCTCTCTCTAATGAATAATGAATAAATAAAATCTTTAAGAAAAAAAAATTCTGTAAGTCGGTGTGGTGAGGGATGATAACTAGACTTACCATGGGGGTCATCTAACAAGGTACACAAACATCCTATCGTTATGTTCGACACCTGAAACTAATATAGTGCTGTATGTCAGTTACACCTCAAAGAAGAAATAAATAAATAAACAGAAGCAGAAGAAAAAAAAAAACAGGTATTTGCTGAATAAATGACCCTCAGGTACAGGTTTTGGCCTCACCTTTTTTTTAATTTATTTTTATTATTATTTTTTTTAATCACCTTTTTTTTTCTTTTTTTTTTTTTTAAAGATTTTATTTATTTATTTGAGACAGAGAGAATGAGAGAGCACATGAGAGGGGGGAGGGTCAGAGGGAGAAGCAGACTCCCTGCCGAGCAGGGAGCCCGATGTGGGACTCATCCAGGGACTCCAGGATCATGACCTGAGCCGAAGGCAGACGCTTAACCACTGAGCCACCCAGGCGCCCTCACCTTTTTTTTTCTTAAGATTTTTTTTTTTAATTTATTTATTTGACAGAGAGATGGCACAAGTAGGCAGAGCGGCAGGCAGAGGGAAAGGGAGAAGCAGGCTCTCTGCTGAGCAGGGAAATGTGGCACGCCCCGGCTATCTTCCCAAAGATGTGTGGTGGTGTTAGGAGGCGGCCCAAGGCGGCTTGCTTGACCCCGGGGCTGTGACCTGAAAGCCACCAACAGCTTGCCAAGCAGCATTCAGCTAAACCCAATACATCCGGATCAACAGACCCACATCCCTTTCTCTAATGGCCACTCAATTCAATGGCATTTAAAATCCTTTAAGTTCACTCTAGGGAGTCTTCCTCCACGACCAAACACATGTATTTCTAGAGCCTGAAGGAAAAAACAAGTGAGGAGAATCGCTTTCCTGATCTTTCCCACTCCCAAGCCCGTGCTTTTTCCAGGTTCGTGGGGTGGATACGGCGGGGAGAGGAGCAGGAACTTCAAAAAGGTTGAAAACCATTATTTGAGGGCAAAGACAAGGACTGTTCCCGGATTTTTATGCGATAAAACGCATAATTTGTACATAACTGGACTACAAAGAGATCTGGATGACAATCCTTTACCTTACACAGATTCTGGAACTCGAACAATCAAGAAAGAAGAACAGAGAAAGTAATTATAATCTATTTGCATAGGAGGATAAGAGAAAGCAGCAGGCTTAGCTTTTAATGCAGTCATAATCATTTTTAGTGCATTTATATCATCACCTTCTCTACTGTGGAAAGGGGAAGAGTTAAATGATGTTTATGGAAACTTATGAGGTGAACAGTCAGAGTGGAAGGTGAGGGAGCAGGCCCAGCGCTGAGGGAAGAGGCCTGCTGCCGAGATGCCCATGTGCCCCAGGTGTCCCCCGGAGCGCTCCCGAGGGGCCCGAGTCCCTTACTGCGCGGCGGTGTTCTCGGCTGCTAGTAATTCACGCTGGCAGTGAGTGTGCAGGATCCTACTGCTGAGCAGCACAAAACCTTCCATTTCAAGAAGATCTAGTAGGGCAAATATCCTGTGTCTTTTGGAGTAAGTGAGATGTGAGACTGCTAAAAATTTATGTAGAGGAAAAATGATCCCATGAAGCTCAGGACCAAAAAAGGTCCGGAGACTCTGTCTTTTATATATGTTTTGAATACACTAAGGTTTCAAGTGGGAGAAGTTGGATTTTTTCTATAGGAAGAGGAATTAGACTCTAAAATTGTGTCTACTGAAAGCCAGTGTCACTACCTAATATTTCTATTTTAAGAAGAAAAACAGGACTTTTGTGTACACTGCTAATCTGTGATAAAAAAACAAATTATGGAAATTATGGAAGTTTCTTTTGTTTGTTGTTAACCCAGCTGTTTTTGTGAGTGGGTGGGGGGGGCAGAAAGAAAGGCAGAAGAACTTACTTAATTTGGGTACCGGCTGTGTGTCCCAAAACTGGTATCTGTGTTTGGCAGCCTCATCGATGCTCCTGGCGGGGCCCTGGCACGCGGACAACAGCTCCATTGCTCTCTGGATATCCTGCAACTTCTGCATTGGAATGCTGGGATTCTAGAACAGCAAAGACACACACACACAAAAATGAGGCAGCGGCCACCGCTCCCAAACCTGGGGCAGACACACGTGCCATCTGCCTTGGAGCCTACAACACCAAAAAACCAACCAGCTCTCCTCTAAGCCTGGTCAGGGATCGGGCTCAAGGATGCTAAGGTATTAAAATAGAAGCAAACACATTATGTTAAAGGTAACAATAGCTCGGTAGTTTTAACGGGGCTTTGATAGTTTTGGGAAATCTGAAGTAAAGCCGACCACCCCTGGCTTCAGGGTCCCCTCTATCTGCAGAGGGTCCTCACCCGCACTCATCCGGGCAGAGCGGCAGAGAGGAGGGACACGCGCGAATGCGTTACTATCACGCGGCAGCCCGTCAGGCATACCCTCGGTTTCACTGTTGGGGTTTATGCCCTGCAGTAGCAATGTGGGGCCAAAGGAAGTAACTGCTAGAATGGAAACCGGGCAGATGAGGGAAATTTTAGTCCATTAAAAAAAAGAAGAAGAAAGAGGAAGGAAGGAAGGAAGGAAGGAAGGAAGGAAGGAAGGAAGGACAGGAAAGGGAAAGGGAAAGGGAAAGGGGAAAGGGAAAGAAAAGGAAAAGGAAAGAGAATTGAGTGCTGAGCTGGGAAGGAAGTTAATCAAGAAAGGGAATCTCTAAGAATGCCCTCCACCAGGACCACACCCTGCCCTCTCCCAGCTCTGATGTTCCTCCAGAGACAAACCTTCCAACGAGAACAGTTTCTTCTGTGAGTTTAGATCTTTGGCAACCACAGCCTGTTTTCCCCAACCCAAGTGTTGGAAACTAACCTTTTTAAGTAAAACATATTCTCAGTCTGGAAAATTGACAATACCTTTCCAATCTCAAGTTCCTTCCTCAAAGCCAATATCCTCTTATCTCTGAAGATTCCCCAGCTCTTTTTTTGGAAAGTCCCTCAGATAATGTAATCCCACATGGAAAGCGAGCCTCTATTTTCCACTTAGGGCTGAATAAAATCACGAAGTTTCTTTCAGTACGCAAAATTATTAGTTTTAGAATTTTGATGCCACACAAACAATGCTCAGAAGTGGTTAACAAGAATTTCAGAGCCCTTTGGTTTTCCTGTGTGCCAACAAACCGGGGGCGCAAAGAAAAGCTACTATCGACCCTCGCTGGTTTATTAATAGTAGCTCTGGACTTCTGGTCAACGTTGAATCTAACGTCTGTGGTCTGAAGCCAAGCCTTTAACCTGGGAAGCTTTACCCATGTGACACACTACAAAACAGAGTTTATTTAATATAGGCCTCCCTGTGTTTGCTTAAGATTCTTGCTCTGAACCTCCAACATAGAGTAACTGATTTTCAGCAAAATGAAATTTACATCCATTTGAACCCCTAAACAAGGCAATCTACTAGAAGACGGACAACTTAAAGAGAAGTCGGAGCATAGCATATTTCAACTTAATAATGCTTGAACATGTACCCATTTATCCTTAAAAAGGCAAATTTGAACCTACAAAGCCTGCACTGAATTTGTCATGGGAATTTTTCTTTCCTAATTCTGGAGTTAAATTCTTGATCACAAATATGCCAAACTCTAGCTAGTTTGCAGCAAACATGAATCAGCATCTTTGTTCCAAAGGAGCCAAGGATATCCCAACTCCGTGAAGACAGACCTCAGAGTGGTTTCAACCCTACCTAACTAGTCTCATCAGGTTGACTAGCAGTCTTTACATAAAACGACCATTCATGAAATATTTATATCTGAATGATCACTATTTTAAGTGCTTTCTTAAAGTAGAGAGAAGCAAGCACAATTTTCAAATCCATGGTGACAAAGCAGCAAGGAAAATTCAGCTATGATACATTCTTAAACCTATCCATTTACTTTCCACAGCAGCACCGCCTGGGGAGAAATGAATTAGTGTCAGGGAAGGTGAGAACGTGGATCAACCCCACGTTAGCTTCCCACTACCATATCCCTAAGTCAGGCGCACCTCTTTTCCTCCGTGGACTACTAAGCTCCAACTGTACGTAACTTTACCCTTTACTTTCTAAATTTATTATCTTGGAAAGATGTCCAAGTCCTCCACCACTAAGAAGTCTAAAGAATCCAGACAAATGTCATCTTATTCTGGTTCTTGAGGGCAGAAAATAATATTTTCTACACACAATCCACTGTAATTTATAGTGTTATTTAGAGCTAGCATCTTGTGTAAGGGAAAGAAGCTCCAGTTTAAAAAAATGCAATGGACAAAGGCCCACATTAACACAATTCTTATTTATTCTCAATTAAAAAAGAAAACAACTTCTCTACGTACATGCTAGCCATTCCTCCTGCCTTGGCTAGCTCTAGTTTCTCATAAGTGACCAGAAGTAAGGGAAGGGCTCAAAGTCACTGGGGGGTGCGGCGAGGGGTACAAGCTGATGGTGATGGTAGAAGCAATACGGAGGGTCAGAACTGCATATAAGTGGCACCGCATTTATCCAATGAAGCGACATTGAGAAATGGGAAAAATGTCTTGCGAGTAGATGGTGTACCTTATATGAGTGACCTCAGGAAGTAGGTACAGTGGATAGAGTATTTATTACCTGAGAGACGAGCTGAAAAGCAAGGGGGGAACATCCCATTTTCTTCTCACCCCACATAGGCAGTCAGGGAGAATTGGGCAAAGTAAGTATCCTCTCAGTGACCCCTGGTCTTACGTGTAAAACAGTAACAACACCAAAATCTGCCTGCAAGACCCACTTCCCACGATACAGTGTCAACTGTGTGCAAGAAAAAGAATTTCAACCCCGCGAAACTTGCCATATATACAGTGCTTTAGACTATAAAGACCACTTAACAGACAGGATCTAACAGCAAATAGGCTCGCAGAGCGCGGCACCCACACAGCTCGTGGGCCGGGGCCGGGGCCAGGGCCGGGACCAAGACCCTCGGCCACACCATGACCCCCGGGACAACTGACGTGGAGCTGCAACCATCAGGATCATCCGGGCTTCGTCATACTTCTAACGCCACCCCCTTTGCCCTGTGAGTCTCCTGCGCGGAGAGGGCCCTGTGGTCCCCCGTGGCCCGTACGCAAGGCCTGTGTTCCCCGCCAGGGTGACCCGGGTCGGCCCCCCGGAAGGCGGGGGGGGCTGCCATCAGCACCACCAGGACCCCGCGCGGCCGGCCATCCGCCCACCACAACTGCTGGCTGGGTCTCAGAGGGGTGTTTCTCCGGCGGGAACGGCAGGAGCTACGGCCCACCCTCGGCAATGGGATGTAAGAATGGCCGAGAAGCCAACTGGTCAGATTCAAAGTCGTAAGACTTACCCATGGCTGCTCCCGTGGGAATCTGCTGCCAGATCGTGTGGTGCTATTCAGGTAATTAGACAGATACCCAGAAAAATTAAAATGTGAATATCTTCTGAACTAAAAGTAATGAAATATTAAGCGTAACTTCAAAACAACAACAACACACACCTAACAAGCTCCCGTGGAGACTGACTTCTGTCACTACAATCTACATACAAATGCGCTCTTTGAGAAAAAGGAAAAATGCAGGTCGTATCCACATACACACAAAAATGCAGTCTGTACCTCTTGGTTATTTAGGTACGAACATCAGCGTCAGGAAGGCTGTAAATGCCCGCCGGGGACGAGCGCCTTCCAGCACACGGTCCCAGCAAAACCCTAAGGACACCTCTGCTCCCCCGGGGGCGCTGAGCCCTACAATCCGGCTCCCACATGCAGGAGGAACCACAGAGGCTAAAATAAAACAGGGGTCTCACTTTGGAAGGCTGCTGGATTTTAATCTCCTGCGAATCAGAGGCCGAGTCTGACTTGGTGCCTCCGGAGTTCGGTTTCTCCTTTTTTCTCTTCTGTTTCTTCTTTTTCTTTTTGGCACCCAAATCCCCTCCAGGACTTCTGTTAGGAAATTCACAGAGGGTAAAACAAGAACAAAAAAAATCATTATATAAAATTAATCATTGAGAAGAACGCAAATTATACCCAGGAAGAAAAAAAAAGAACTAGGTTAGGATGCCCGATATTGTGATTTATAAGAAACGTATATATGTGATCATTCAGATGACCTAATATATAGCTCTCATACATACTTCCTAAGTGACAAGAGCTTAAAAATGTCTGTTGTGTTAATGAGGTGACTTCTGGAAAGTGCCTAAGGATGGGGGTTGGTTGCCAGTGGTGCCAACCCTGTGATCAGAGGGCTGGAACTTATATTCCCAGCCCCCAGCTTCCAGGGAGGAGGGGAGGGCAGCAGGATGGCCAGTGATTTGATCAGTCGTGCCTATGTAATGAAGCCTCTATAAAACCCTCGAAAAACAGAGTTTTCCTTGTACAGATTCAGGGAGAGTGGAGCATGGATGCTCTGCGCCCTTTCCCAGCACCTGGCCCTGGGCATCTCTTCCACCTGGCCGTTCCCCAGTCCTATCCTTTTATGATAAACCAGTCATCTAGTAAAGAAAATGTTTCTAGTACTTCTGTGAGCTGTTCCAGCAGATCAATCGAATCTGAGCAAGGGGTCTTGGGAACCTCTGATACACACCTGGCTGGTCAGTAGTACAGGGGACAGCCTGGGTTTGCGACTGGTGTCTCAAGTGGCGGGCGGCGTGGGGTGGGGAGCAGTCCTGTAGGACCGAACCCCTGCCCCGGGCAATGTGATGCTACCTCCGGGAGGACGGTAGCAGAATGGAGTTAAATGAGAATTCTGCTAGTGTCGGTGGGAAGCCCGCCCTCCACACGCACATGATGAGATTAGATCCAGAAACTCAAAATGGCATGTAAAGCGGGAAATGGAAGTGAGATGAGAAGTTAATAGCACAAGGAACTCAGAAGACTTACTAGTCTACACGAAGTCACACTGCAGGTGCTTAAACACCATTCGAGCAGGAAAACTGGAGCTAGAAACCATATTTTATAATGGAAGTCAAGTAGCTTTCACCCTTAACCACAGCTCCACTAACCTACTTTTTAGGCAGCCTTTTAAGGGAGAGATGCGTGTTGTAAAAAATTCCATTATAAACATCTCTTGGGTACAACAAACCACAAATCTCAACACAACAGAACCAAAGAAACCGCTTCTCTGCAGAAGGGGAAATTTTCCTTGGTAAATCATTTAACAAGAAGAATTAACAATAAAAAATTCTACATGAAAAAAAAATGTTCACTGGTAAAACATTTGTCTGGAACTCTTGTCATCTTATGGCTGTCACCCCCTGAAAGAGCGAAAGAGACGCCAGGAGATTTGCAATTTCCAGTTACTTGGGTCTACACTACCACAGTATTCCCAGAAGGGAAGTTCAAATTCAGAGACAGTTACTGCATTACCGCCTTGATGTAGGGGAAAGTGATGGAAACAATCAGTTCCATTCTGTTGCCCTCAATGAACTGTATCTGCTGCTACCTACTTTCTCTGACTAGTTATCAGAAATGTATGCATCAGACAAGACACAAATGTCACTGATACATAACATATATATATATTAACAGCCTCATAACATTGTCCCTCAGGGGCAACCAGTGGTTTTTCTGGTACATATTCTTCCAAAATTCTCTTTTTTCTCTAAGCACGCCTTTATTTTCACTGTAAGTTTTAAACAAAAACTGTATCTTAAACATACCATTTGCCACCTTGCTTTTTTTCTCCTTCCACTTACTTAACAATGTGTCTTAGACTTCTTCCCATGTCAGGATATAGTGAGCTACCTCATTTCTTTTTAGCAGCTACAGAGCATTCCATTGTGTAAATATATCATATTTAACCATCCCTATATTAAAAAATGCTGCTGCAGGGGGCACCTGGGTGCCTTCCGGTTAAGCATCTGCCTTTGGCTCAGGTGACGATCCTGGGGCGCTGGGATCGAGGCTCACGTCCAGCTCCCTGCTCAGTGGGGAGTCTGCTTCTCTCCCATCCCACCCCCCGCTCATACTCTCTCTCTCAAATAAATAAAATCTTTTTTAAAAAATGCTTACATCTTTATGCATTCATGCCAGTATGTCCAAAGGTGCAAATGCCAGATCAAAGGGCACGAACGTTTTTACTTTTAGTAGATAATTAAGATTGCTGCACTAAATACTGTACCAATATCCACTCCACCAAGAGTAAATCAGTTTCTGGTCACCAATTCCGGTCAGCAATTCCTCTCAGATTCATGGGAAAGGCAAGGACCCAGGACAAACTAAGACTGGCCCCAAGACTGGCCAGACAGGTGAATACAGGGCTTCCTGGAGAAAAGCCTCAGGAATGCAAACCTGCACGGCAGCGGTGCTCAGGTAAGAAAACCAGAGTCGTGACTGCCCAATGCTGGGGCCTATATGTGGACCAGGGGGGTCCAACACAAAGGGAATCCCACACGTTGGTGAGTTTTACCTCCAGGAGCAGTCAGGTTCCCAGAACAAACAGCAGACAAAAATCCCCCCATGCTTCTGGCAGTGGGAGGGGAAGAGGGACCCTTCTGAAATGAGCCAGAGCACTCTGTTCTCAACAAAGCCTGCCCCCAGAAGAAATTAGTCGTCGACCAGAGCCTAACTGACATGGGGAAACAGCCAAACCCAGCCCACGGTAGCATCCTGTCCCACGTGAGGGGGGAAAAGGAAACAGAGGAAACAGGAGCAAGTTCAGAGCCCAGAGGCACAGGCTCACCAAGGGCTGGGAGGGGCCCAAGTGCAGGACGGCAGAACCCCCACGCCCTCACCTCTCCCCACCATGCTACTGAAGGCTGACCTATAGCAGTCCCTCTTACCTGGTACCTCACGTCTGGCTATCCAGAAAAAGTTGTAAGGTGTACTGAGAGGCCAAAAACACAGTTGGAAAAAAGACCAAGCACCGGAATCAGACAGGGCAGGGATGCTGGAATTATCAGACTAAGAATTCAAAACAGCTATGATTAATATGCTAAGATCTCAAAGGAACCAAGCAGACAGCATGAAAGGACAGACAACATTAACAGAGAGACAGAAAACCTAAGAAAGAACCAGAAAGAAATGATAGAAATAAAAGACACTGTAAGAGAAATGAAGAGTACCTTTGATGGGCTTATTAGTAGACTGGACAGAGCTGAGGAAAGAATCTCTGAGCTTGAAGATGTTGCAACAGAAACCTTAACAGAAACGTCCAAAAGTGGGGTGCCTGGGTGGCTCGGTCAGTTAAGCGTCCGTCTCTTGATTTCAGGTTCAGGTCATGATCTCAGAGTTGTGGGATCAAGCTCCGCGCTGGGCTGCCCCCAACCCCACTCTCGTATGCAAGCACACACTCTCTCAAAAACAAAAACAAAAATACAACAGCAACAAAAGAAATCTCCGAAAGTGAAAAGCTAAGAGAACAATGACTGATGAAACAGATTAGGATACCCAAAGGCCGTGGGACACCTACAAAAGGTGTAACACATGTGTAATGGGAATACCAGAAGGCAAAGGAGGAACCTAACAAATATTTGAAATGATCACAACCGAGAATTTCCCCCAATGAATGTGAGGCACCAAACCACAGATCCAGGAATCTCAGAGAACACCAAGCAGGATACATCCCAAGAAACACTACGCCTCGGTACTGGCATATCCTTTTCAAACTACAGAAAATCAAAGATTAAAAAGAAAATCCTGAAAGAAGCCAGAAGCAAAATATGCTTCTCCTATAAAGGAACAAGGAACAGTAGGTCAATGAGAATGTCAATTTCCCAACTTCTCTGCCAATACTGAAATATTAACATTCTTTTTCATCTTGGACAGTCTTTTTTTTAATTTTTATTTTTTTTATTATTTTTTTTAAAGATTGTATTTATTTGACAGAGAGAGATACAGCGAGAAAGGGAACACAAGCAGGGGGAGTGGGAGAGGGAGAAGCAGGCTTCCCGCGGAGCAGGGAATCCGATGTGGGGCTCGATCCCAGGACCCTGGGATCATGACCTGAGCCGAAGGCAGATGCTTAACGACTGAGCCACCCAGGTGCCCTTCATCTTTGACACACTTATAGGTAGAAAAGTCTTATTGCAAATTTAACTTTTCTTTATTTAATCAGGAGCAAGGCTATACATCTTTCCATATGTTTACTGACCATTTATATTTTTCTATGAATTGCTCATTCATATCTTTTTCTGTTACCCATCTCTTTAAAAAATTGATTTGTCGGTGGCCTTTATACAAGCATGGATGGAACTTACCAGTTGTTAAGTATTTTTACTTTGGGTACTTTCATTTCATTCAATCCTTGCAACAGCTCTATGACATACTACTTTATGTCTGTAGTACATTGCCTAGGCTGTTGTGTATTACTTAAATTGCAAATACTTTACCTGGTTTATTTTTTTACAGTATCTTTTCCTATACAGACATTTAAAATCTTGGTGGAGTCTAAGAAATTTTCCCTGTGGCTTCTGGGCTTTTAAATCTTGCTTAGAAAGACCTTCCCTACTGTAAAACTACATTAACATCCTTCTATGTTTCTCCTCTACTGTGTGACTTTTGGAAAATAATATTTCGCTTTCTAATTCACTTGGAATAAAAGGTGTACAATGTGAAGTGCCCATGCCTCTACTTTTCAAAAATACTACTAAATACAAGAAGTAACATCACTTGTTATTACTGGGGTCACACTGTAGCCCTCAAAGACTGATAAGCACATTTTATAAGAGAGGCAGATCTGCCTACTAATTGGATGCAATCACATAGTGAGGTTCTCTTGCTGCCGGATACCGTTCCAGGTGCAAGCAGTATCAAAACACATCTGAAAACTCTCTCTTTTTAAAAAGATTTTATTTATTTATTTGAGAGAGAGAGAGCACAAGCAAGGGGAACTACAGGCAGAGGGAGAAGCAGGCTCGCCCTGAGCAGGGAGCCTGATGTGGGGCTCGATCCCAGGACCCTGGGATCATGACCCGAGCTGAAGGCAAACGCTTAACGACTGAGCCACCCAGGCGCCCCTGAAAATTCTTTGATACTTCTCTCAACAAGAGGTGAGGTCTATTCCTCTCCGCCTGAATCTGGGCAGGCTTGTCACCTGCTCTTTGTGCAGCAGAAGTGACCCCATGTGATTCGGGAGGCTCGGACACAAAAGACCATGCAGTTTCCAACCTGGCTTCCTCAGGGTGCTCATTCTGGGGGCAGCCAGGAGCCACGGACGAGGCCTGAGTGCCCTGAGACCTCCGGGCCAGCAGACGGCTCACCTAACTCCACAGCAGCACCAGGTAGGGCTGTGGGAGGGAGCCCGGGTAGACGACCAGCACCGTGGAGCCTGCACCTGCACAAGAGGCCCTAAGGGAGTACCTGCCTTTCCAACTTCCTACCCACAGAATATGCAAGCGTTAACAAAGTGACCACTGTTTTAAGTCACCAGCTCTGTGATGACTTGTTACAGAGCAGTAAAAACTGGATCAGATGGGCGCCTGGGTGGCTCAGTTGGTTAAGCGACTGCCTTCGGCTCAGGTCATGATCCTGGAGTCCCGGGATCGAGTCCCGCATCGGGCTCCCTGCTCGGCAGGGAGTCTGCTTCTCCCTCTGACCCTCCCCCCTCTCATGTGCTCTCTCTCATTATCTCTCTCCCTAATAAATAAATAAAATCTTTAAAAAAAAAAAAAAAAACAACTGGATCAGCAATTGGGTGCCTGAAAATGGAGGGCCACTCTAATAAAACCCTAAAACACAAGCCACCGCTCCAAGGCCAGGTGAAAAGGCCGGTAGGGGTGGTGGGGGCTCCAAGAAAAATAGACACAATGTTTCACATAATGATTATTTCAGTGAGTGCTTCATTTTCAACTAGGAACCTGAATGAGGAAGGGAGACCCATGCTACATACTAGAGGAAGAACGTTTATAAAGAGCTGTTGCCAGCGATGATGTGGAAGCCAGAAAATGTACCTAATGAGCTGATGATGCTCGAACTAAGATCACTGGGCAGAGGGTTGAAGGTGCTGCTTCGCCCCGCTGTCTATAATGAGACAAGAGAGAGATCAACTCAAGAATCAGCTAGTTAGTTTCTGAGTAGAAATTAGAGAATATATATACTCAGTCAGTATTTTGCAGGTTAAAAAAATAAGTGTTTCTCATCCCAGCATCTCTAGAAGGCAAAGGGTTTGCATATTGAGAAATGGCCTCAGGGGCACCTTCAGCTCAGGCTCAGGTCTGTGATCTCACCGGTTGTGGGATAGAGCCTGCATCAGGCTCCTAGCTCAGGGGGGAGTCTGCTTGAGATTCTCTCTCTCTCTCCCTCTGCCGCCCTTCTCTCTCTTTCTCTCAAATAGTAAATAAAATAAATCTTAAAAGAAAAAAGAAAAAAGAAATGGCCTAAGAACAGAAAATCAAAGCAAGGGTGGAGCAATAACCCTTTGTTAGGATGTTGCGAAGATCTAAGGTGGTGCCTCTGGACCATTCCAAACA